GTAAGCCCTGTTTACTAGACCCCACTGGGAGAGGACAGCTGCAGGCTTGGAATTCTCCTGGGCTCAATCCTATGCACCTCTTCCCTTGCTTGATTTTAATCTGTATCCTTTTATGGTAACAAACCATAACCATTAGCATAATGTTATTTTTCTGAATACTGTGAATCTTTCTAAGAAATTTTTGAATTTGAGAATGGTCCTGGGACTGCTGAACTTTCCAGTATCTAGTACAGTCAGCATAGAAAAGCTCTTTTTGTTAAGGACACTCATGAAATGATAGCATGAAATTGGATGCTTTAGAAAGGCAAGTAGCTAAAATTTCATCATTCGAACAAGTATTAGTAACATGTAATTGAATTATATGATTACAGTAACATGTATGATGGGCATAAACAGATAACAGTGAATAACTGGCAGGAGAAAACTGGTATCACTCAAACAAGGGAGCCTCATGTTGTGAGAGCTCTCAGCCTGAGAGCCTCTTGGTGTGTTTTCCAAAGAACTGGAGAGCTTTGCTTAATTCCATGAGTCGAGTAAAGTGGATGTGAGTAAAGGAAACTTACCTTGTACATTGGTTCAGAAAATGATGAGCAGACAATTTGCCTGATTTTTCTCACTTCAGACTCATGTATTTTTAACTAATTATTGTGTATGAATATCTAATGATATCCTTAAAAGTTTCCTTTACCAGGACTTTTTGAAAATGTGGAAATGGCTTGTACAGAATGACTGAATCCACAAGTTATAAAATATTTGCAATTTACTCTGTATGGTTGATAAATTCATGGGGATGTATCGTAGCATCTCATATGAAGCTAACTTCTATTTTACTCAAGAACTAGTGATTAAAAAAGAGTGTTTCTAAGAGAATAGTTTTGACTGAAGTAGATTCTTCTTAGATTCTAGAAATACTCATGTGGCTCCTAATTGGCTCATATTTCAGGTTTTGCTTTCAGATTCGTCACTGTGAGATTTTAAATTTAGCACATGCACTTATTCAAGGAAGTAGAGGTGGGTTCGTCCATTGGTTTCCGTTTGTTTTTCTCTATTATGAAGTGAATGCTGGCTGGCTGTTGGTATAGCCCAGCGCTGGCAGTGTCGTGATACAGCTCATTGCTTGTGGGCTCTGGGCCCTGGGAACCTGCCCTCCCTTATTCACCACACTTTGTAAGAAAACTGTATACTATGCAGAGCTCACATGGATTTAAAAAAATCACTTTCTTCTTGGGATCAGGGATAAACTGATTTCCTTAATGTACAATATGTTAAACAACCACCACCCATTGAACCAGCAGTTTATGGAACAATATTTTGCGATTACTTCTTGCACCATTTTTTTTCAAATTGCACTAGAACTTTGGGAGAAGGATGGCTAGTATTTGTTCTGGGTCAATATAGATGTAATCCTTTGCTCCTTCAATAAGATTAAAAGATTTTTCCTAGGTAGAAAAAAGCTAAATTTCTAATGCAAATCCAGAAGATAGAGTTATCCCTGGGTGATAGGTCACTACTTTTTATTCCACTGCCAATTTTTTTTAACTTTTTCTTTCTCTTCCCCTTCTCATTTCTTCTTTTAATGAGCAGTTCAGTTATGTAGCCAATGGGTTAAGCAGAACAAGGTAGGCGACCACACCTGGTGGTGAATGCTGAGGGAGCCTGAGCAGTGTAAGGAAGGGGAACAGTAAGAGCCGAGAGAGAAAGGAAGATGCCAAGAGAGAAAGGAAGACCACAGGAAGAATGGTTTGATATGTTGTCACAGCCCAGTGCAGGGTGAAGTGCCCTCCACCCAGGGGGAGTTCTGGTGATGGTGAGAAGTTGTAGTGAGTATGGGTTAGCAGTAGTGAGGGAGGCTGGTTATGTCTAAGAACTTGACCTAGTAAGCAATTGTGATAAGGACAATAGGCGTCAGGTTCATCACTGTTGGACAAGGGGGCTCCAAATACTAGAATGAATTGTGGACATTGTATTATAATTAGACATGTTTGTGTGAATTTAAATGTGGAATTGTCGGTTCTTTTATATTACTTAAATCTAGTGTGCCATGAAGAATCAAGCAATAAAATTCACAGGGCTTATGGGAGAATGATGTTGAACACAAAACTTAGGCATTTTATCAGTGACACACATGCCTGCACAGAGACACACACAAAATTGCATCTAATACAAATGAAAGTACAGTTTACATATGTTAAATGAATAAGAAATAGATAAGTCCTATGTGAAATATGCCACTTGACCTTGAAAAGAACCCAAAGTTTGCTTTTGGAAGTAGACTTCAGAAAAACTGCAACTTGGAGTTATTATGAAACAGTGGACGGTGGGTTATTTGAATCAGATGGAAAGTTGTAACACCAGATGTGTGTGTGGCTCACAGCACAGAGGATGAACAGATGGGTTGGTGTGTGCTTGGGTATACTCGCGTGTATGCACATGCATCTTTTGTGTACAGATGCGATTCAGCCAGGTCTAGTTCATCCTGTGTTTCTTGCAAACAAATCCTGCATAAGCAAATACCAAATCTACAGTCTGCACAATTTGTTCCTTAATGTGCCAAGTGTACTAATACAAATTCACATTTTCAAAACAAATATTATAGCAGAACTCATTGTATATAAAAATACATAGATACAGAAATAATTATAGATGCACATATATGCATTCACATACATATTTGGAATCCCTATCTCTCATAGCTAAACGGATTGGGGAAAGGCACCGCCTCGATTAGAAATTAGGTGCCAATCCAGGAGAATATTATTTTGGCATTTGGCAAATATCTGATTCGTGCAGCCAGAGATTGCTGTGCCTCCCTTTGTTTTCAGAATTGTTGTCATTCAAGGTATCTCAGCAGCTGGAACTTAACTCCCAGGGAATAGCGAAAGGAACAGGAATCTACCTAGTGTGGTGGTCCAGCACTCAAAGGGAAGAAAATCAAGAAAAAACACAAAATAAGTGACTTCTAACAAAATAGAGCAATTGGAAAAGTACTCCACATCCCTCAGTAGATCCGTAGAGTTCTCCTACCTTGTGTAATAAACAGGTTAAAGACTGTGGAAACAAAGACAGAAGAAGCCTAACGATCTCCGCTTTCACCAAACTGTCTGAAATTGCACTTAATAATAATGGGCCAATCTTCTAGATTTACATAAGAATAAAGAATGACAAAAACTTCCTGAAAACGGTCATCTAAGTAGAGCTTGAGATTTTTAATCAAACTGACTAATCAACATAAATAGTATCACTTAACATCTTAAATATTTTCTTTTCTGAAATAGGTAAGGTATAAATAGTGTTGTTTGTGTTGACAGAGCAGGGTTAGATTTTGAACTTGAACAAAAATAGTACCCCCTCAATAAACTAAATCATAATGGCAATTAAGGGCGTCAAACATAGCACATGTATATACACACAACACACACACACAAAATTTTGCCCATCCTACAAAAATAGACTATGTGTGCTTGGTTCGGCAGCACATATACAAAAATAGACTATGATTTACAAACAAACAAACAAAAATGAAGGAATGGATGAATGGAACCAAAAAAGTAAAGACCGGGAAGAAAATAGATTTGGATAACAGACCTAGTACACTTTCCATTGTGAATACAGGAGCGGTGAAAAAGAAAATGCACAGATGGAGAAGAGGAAGTTACTAATACTAGGAGGAAATTTATCTCAACAGACAAAGACTCAAGTCTTAAGAGTAAAATACTTTATTAAAGTCCAGGCATGATAGATAAAAAAGGTAATAGACAGCTGTGATAACAAGACTATAAGCTACTTATTTAGAAGAAGATGTATGTTTGAAAGAAGTCACCTATGACTAGTAACATAATTAAGATCTAAAAATAAATTATATGATTTTTCCAAAGAATAAAGTATTAAATAATCCACTGCTAGTTGTATTTTTTTAGTCCTAGCGTTCAAAACCTAAAGCTCTGTTAATTATGGTGGAGCTAATTTCCTTATTTATACCCAGGCATATCCAGGTTAAGATTTCAGGACTCAAGAGAAAGAAGAAAAATATTAAACGTTTTCAGATAGAAAAAATTTTCTTTAAAATGATTTTATATGACTATACTGGTTACCTTTTCAATTCATTTCTTTATAACTTACTCGATGAGACATCTTTGATTTTTTATAGCAAATACATCATAAGTAATAGAATATATTTTGATCATGGACAAAATATGAAGAATGTGTGTGTGACTAAAATGAATTCCAACAGCCAAAGAGAAGAAAGTGAAAGATTAATGGTTTATTTTACAATGACATTTAATTCTCGGAAATTTTATACAAAATAGACTTTGGCAAGATAGCATTTGAACTCTTCTTACAATAGTAAACATGCAAAAGAAGTTAAGAATATGGAATATTCAAGTGAAGGTATAACATTCGTAATTAGACCACTTTAAAATAAAAAGTACTACCTAAAAACAATTTTATTACTCTTTTACATATATGCATTTCTTTCATTGTTCTCATATCTATTTCTTACATATATTGTAGTTTCATTATTTTTTTATTTTTTTTTTTTGTAGAGACAGAGTCTGACTTTGTCGCCCTTGGTAGAGTGCCGTGGCGTCACATGGCTCACAGCAACCTCCACCTCCTGGGCTTAGGTGATTTTCTTGCCTCAGCCTCCTGAGTAGCTGGGACTACAGGCGCCCGCCACAACGCCCGGCTAGGTTTCTGTTTTATAATTTTTTGTCTACATTAAGAAACTGACATTATTAGAAAAAGTTGACTTCTATGTAAATCAACCTCTATTGGGAAAAATTACAGAATATACATCGAATGTTCACTCTGATCCTACCCTCTGGCAAAAGCACTCTGAGTTCTGGAGAGAATTTATTTGAACCTCTGTTTTAAGAGTCACATTTCCTCCATTAAACAATCATTGAATTATTAAGAGACAGGACCAGACAGAAGGACATGTTTACTCTGGACATTTGGTGCTTTTGACCTATTCAGTTTGGTCCATATTCTCTTTGGATACTGCCTGTTTGTTTATTTAAACTTGACTCTAGATAATGGAAAAGCATGGCAGAGGGCAGGAATGGTATTTAGACATCAAGTTCCAGCTGGCTGTGGTCATCACGTTCATGGAAGCCGCTGTCATGTTCTCTTACCCTAGGAACCTTTGAAGAAAATAAAATTGGGTCACTTAAGAGTTTCTTTCACTGGACTTATTAAAAGTTAGTATTGAAAGAAAGGTGTTTTTCTTAATGATTGTCAAAGGTCAGAGAGAACCAGGAATGAAAATTGTTTGAGCTGATGAAAAATAAAAGAACAAATATTTACCTCACCCACCCTGACTACATTATTTCTTCTTTCCCAAACCCATTCTCCCTGAAATCCTTATGAGAACACCCTTACATCTACCCCTCTGAAACTTTGCAGGAAATAATTTGGGAGAAAATGTCACCAGGGTAAAGAGGTAGAAACCAGAGAACAGAAAGAATCATTTTTTTAAAGCACAGAACCTCTTACTGTGTACTCACTCAAATCCTTCAAACTTACATATTCCTACGTATTCCTGCTTTTGCTTACTTTTACGTACAGTATTTAATTTCACACTTTCCCCCAGAATTCTTATTATTCTTAAGAGTAGCTTTTTTGTTGCAGTCAGAGGGGTTAAAGGACATTTGACAACTAAATTCTATCTTTTCTTCCTTTAACGTCTGCTTTGGGAGATACCATCACGTCTGATTTTATCTCTCTGGACACACCATCTCAATTGCTGTCTATAAATACAGAGTTCACCCAATTTCATCACACATCTGCCACACAGACATCTAAGCTTGAAGTGAACAAAACTTTCACTAGTGAAATCATCATTCACACTCTTGTTTGGAATACCATACAGTACCTCCCAATAAACAGAATCATCATAGCAGTTCTCATCCAATGGCTGTCCCCAGATAGGTATCTTCAGAATTAAACCTGTGAAGATGAGGGGAAATAAGTCGTGTTATGATGCTAATGAGAAAAATCTTCTTGCATAGAAGTTAAAAAGCAGGGCGGTGCCTGTGGCTCAAATGGATAGGGCACCAGCCCCATATGCCGGAGGTGGAGGGTTCAAACCCAGCCCCGGCCAAAAACTGCAAAACACACACATACACCCACAAAACCCAGAAGTTAAAAAGCAGTTATAAAATCACTCTCTTGAGCAAACATAATTACTTTGCTGCCAGAAGTTTAGAACACTTTTGATTTTATCAATTGAGTTGCTTATTAAGAGAGTACAGGGTACAGCGTAAAGTACAGGGACGTCTTCTCTTTGTATGCTGACCTGTAATAAGACCTCCAACAACTGCTGTTCCGATGGAAGAACCCAGCGCGGCTGCCTGCCTGGCTACAGTAGTCCTGGGAAGCCAAAGAAGAATCATGTTTTTCTGGACACGAGCTAACGAATCTCGCCTACTGAGAGCGCGCACGTCTGCCATCTTCAGGCCAGAGGACAGCACTGCACACCAGCAAATGCATGAATGTTCGTTACAATTTTTTTGGGTCATATCTTTGTTTTCTTTGAAACTCATAAGAAGTGTTAGAAAATTCTTAGACATGGTGAAACAAGAATATCATTTTCATGAACCTTCTGAAATAATACGGCCTTTCTTAGAAAGGGGTTAGCCCTCAAAAATTTGATCCTTGATGAGATTCATTCAGTAAATATTGACTGAGTACCCACTCCGTGACACTGAGTGTCTCCTCTAGGCACTGAGGGCGCAGTAACGTATAAAGTGACATGGGCTGGCACCCCTCTTAACCTCATCCCGAAGAAACCGTGAAGATAAAATTAGAAAATCTATCAACAAAATTAGAAAATTTCAGCATGTATTGTAGAGACAACCCACTGAAGGTATTTAAGTCCACTTCCATATGTCATTTTAAAAGTCATTACCTTACAATTGGTGAAAAATGTCTTAGAATTTGGGGAATGGAAAATATGATGAAAGGCCATTGAAATAAATAATGACTTTACATGAGTGACAAATAACCTAGGACTGTGGTCATCTTCTTAGCACAGCTCCTCATGCGTAGCAATTATTAAGAAGTGGTTGAATGATTGAATGAGTGATTTCAGTAATTGAAACAACTGAAGAATGAGGGCTTATTGGTATTCCAGCCTCATTGTCTTAGGGAGAGAATGAACTTACCTCAGATTTCCTTTTTTTCCTCATTATTTGAAGTGTTTAAATTTTTCTACTGTGTTAAAAAAACTGCATAAATATTAGAACTGCAAATAATAAGAGGAAAAGTTTAATATCTCTCCACTCCTATCAGAATAAAAATATAACGCATATTTTTCTAACGAGCAATCATGCTATGCTATATATTGTACCATTAAATATATCTTAACTGCTTTTTTTATGTCAGTAAATGTAGATCTTGAGAAAGATGTTCTACGACCAAATAGGCTTGGAAAACACTGAGTTAAACAAAAAGTAACAGCATTATTAGAGTTAGGCTGCCATCATTTGCAAAACCGTCCCTTAAGAACATTAATTTTCCCTTGTTTTATGCTTACAAAAGCCTGCTTTGCCTTTTAATTCTTAGTAGACACAGGGGAGAAATCCTGGCTCTCAGACAAAGTATTTTAATTGGTGTGAGACGTGAATTTTACCCAGGTGAAGGGGCCTTCAAGGCTTGTTCCCCTCCCCTTTCCTGGTCTTTCCTTTCTTCCTCCCTCTCTAACAAAGAGATGATTTTAAACTAGCATATTTAAGGACTAGACCCTCAACCATGAGATTAACCCAATGTCTGGCTACCCCGTGGGGCTGTCAGGGAGCCCAGCCTGGAAGCCAAATCCACTTGTTTTGCTGTCTCTGTGGCCCTGGTCTAGACATGCTGCTCAGAAACTCCCCGCCATGAGGCACCTCGTAATGGGCACACTCTAACTCTTAGGAGTGGAGCTCATCCACACAGGCTTCTATCATGCTTGATTTACATTAAAGTAGTTTAGTGTTTGGTCTCAACCGTCTGTGAGGGCTAGGGGAGAACTGCAAAAATTGTATTTTCTGGGTCGTCCTCCAGATTTACAAAGGGGGTAAAAAAGAAAACGTAGATGAAATGGGTCACCGACACACGTGAAAGGGAAGCAAAAAGTTTCTGCTCAGTAGAAAGTATTGTTAAATGGGTCCTTCAAATAGTTATTTTATTTTTATTTGTCTCTGCAGTGTTACATTTTAATCTGCTAAAATTTAAAAGAAGATTTTTCTTTTCAAATTATGCAACTCTAGTTAGTGGTCAACCTAAGACATTTCTAGACAGACTTTCACGTTTCCTTCTCCTTTTAATTAGATTTAAATTTGAGCATTCTGATTCCTGCTTACTTACTCTGAGTAATTTGGACTCTATGATCTTCCTAGCTGTTTTGCATGGATAATATGTATATCAAATTGTTCCAATTGTGTATAAAAGAGACAAAGGATGGTTTATAGCATTGCTTCCATTCTCCTTGGCTTGATTGATAGTTTTTTTTTTCTATCTGTTTAAATAAATATGCATGCTCACTTTAGGGAAGAATACAGACTTGCCTGAGCTAGCAGAGATTTTAGAGAACAGTTCGATCTTATTTTACAGACAAGGAAATAGGAACCAGAGAGGTGAGTGACATCTTTGTGTAGATTGCAAAGAAATGACCATTCAGTTCATTACTTGTGTCCCTTTGTATGTTTTAGAGGGACAAAAAAAAAAAAAAAGAACAAATCTTCAGTAATTTGATGGTGATTATCAAATTGTCCTGTTATCAAGGAGACAGTTGTCTACAGTAGAAACATTTCAATTAATAATGCTAATTAAAAAATTAACAGTGTTAGTTAAAAGTACATTTTCCAATAAAATTCTATTCAAATTCTCTTCTCTCAGCTGTGTCTCTTTGGTTCTTATAAAGACAATACTTACAGACTGTGGCATGGACTGCTAAAAAGAGAATGTTTTCTCATCACTGGATATCTCACAGAGCCTGAGACAATACCCTGAGATGGGTCAGGGAAGATCCCTTCACGTACTCACATGTTAGACACTCCCAGGTCTACCGCCACAATGCCTGCCAGGCCGCCTACCACTCCCGGGAGGCCATGCAGGTTATGGACCCCACACGTATCTTGGATCCTCAGTTTAGTAGCAAAAAATGGCTAAAATTATAAAAGGAGAAAGCCTTGTTATTTTTTGTTAGTTATACTGAGCTCTGTAACTAAAGTAAATAACCAGGAATAATTTTTTATAAATACATTATATTGCATTATATGTCGTATTTAAGGTATATGACAGGATGTTATGAGATAGATGTATACAGTAAAAAACCTGCTGTATTGAAACAAATGAGCATCTCCATCATCTCACACAATTGTCCCTTTTATTGTGTGGCAAGAACAAATAAAATCTATTTAGATAAATCCTACATACATTGCAATTTTATTACCTATAAGGCTCATTTGTACATTAGGTCTCTGGACTTGTTCATCCTACCAATCTGACAGTGTGTGTTGTCTCCCCCACATTTCCCCATTTTCTCCCCCACTCAGAAGAAAAAAAAATTATAGCTCAGTTCTCCATCTATTTCTGATGTGCACTTAAGTCAGAGAATTTGAACATACTGGTGGCAAAACTGCACATTTAGGTCTTTAGTGAAGGGATTTAAAGGATCTGATGTGAAGTCCTACTCCTTACATCCTAACCCTCTCAAAAGAGTACAGAGTCCTTAAATATACAAAAGAAAACATCAACAACTTTAATGAAACTGCCCCAGAAAGTAACATGCAGTTCATAGACATGTAATTCATAGAAAACTGAAAATAACTGATAGGATGTATCAGCTTCTCTCTTGCAGGCTGAAGTCAGGAAAGAGCGTAACCTTTGGACCACTGAATCGTGAGTGGTACTTAGGAGAAGAAGGCAAACGGACCCCGACAAGGAAAATTGCCTATGAAGGAAAACTTTCAGGCTTTTATTTCTGCTGGTGAAATGTGAGGAGAACGTGGTATAGTTTGAAAGTTTGACTCAGAACATCTGTTGTACTTACAGTCAGGTATTTGTATCCAAGCACGGAGACCATTCCTGCAACGCTCCCGATGATCATAGAACCATATGGCTGAATCTTCATGTCTGCACAAGTGCCCACAGCGACTCCTCCAGCCAGGGTGGCATTCTGGATGTGCACCTGTGTGGAGGGAGGGCAGAAATGTGAGTGAGCCGAGATGAACCAGGAGGGTCCACAAGGACCTCTGGAATTCAATGGACCCAGGACACTTTCTTCAGTTGAAAGGACTGCTGAGAATGTTCATAAAAGAAGGTTCTTTGTAATCACAGAAGGCCCTTCTTCCAAAGCAGTTGGCTTTGGCTATCTTTCTTGCCAGGGTGCCTTGGTAGTGGATGAGCAACCGTGTTAATGAAACCACTGGTGGGAGGCATAGGAGAAAACCAAACAAGTTGTAGTGGAAGGGCGGGAGGCCTGTTTCTATTTAGAACACATCTGTGGTAACATGACCCAAAAGAGAACCATGACTACCGTGTGCTTTGTGGTCTAGGATATTCCAGTATTCACAGAGGAGAATGTGGAGATGCTGACAGACGTCACACACAAAAAGCAACACGTTTGCCAGTGTCCCTCTCCTGAGGACATTTGAGGACGGAGGAAAGAGGAATCGATTTCCGTGTACCAGAATTCCTCAGAGAAATCCCATCTGGCTGCTCTGCCTGAGGAGCAGAGTTTATCAGTGCTTTTAAAAGAGAACCTCTGAGCGGTACATGTGGGCTTTTTCTTAAAAATGTCTTCAATGATTTCTCATGAGACAATTTGTGGGGTATTGAAACACGTGTCCACAGTCATGCTTAAAGAATACGTTATAATATCTCCTTCTTCCCCCAGGATAGAAAAGTAGAGGGACTCATCTGAAGGTTACTTCTTTTCTTTTTCTTTTTGCAGTTTTTGGTTGGGGCCAGGATTTGAACCCACCACCTCCAGTATATGGGGCCAACACCCTACTCCTTTGAACCACAGGCACCGCCTTTTTTTCCTTTTTTTTTGCAGTTTTTGTTTGGGGCTGGGTTTGACCCACCACAGGTGCCACCCTGAAGGTTATTTCTTCTTCTTTTTTTTTTTTTAGAGACAGCATCTCACTTTATCATCCACGGTAGAGTGTCGTGGCATCATAGCTTACAGCAACCTCCAGGTCTTGGGCTTAGGTGATTCTCTTGCCTCAGCCTCCCGAGTAGCTGGGACTACAGGCACCCACCACAATGCCTGGCTATGTTTTAGACCGGGTTTGAACCCTCTACCTTAGTTGCAGTTTGGCTGGGGCTGGGTTTGAACCCTCTACCTTAGTTGCAGTTTGGCTGGGGCTGGGTTTGAACTCTCTGCCCTCGGTATATGGGGCCAGAGTCCTACTCACTGAGCTATAGGCGCCGCCCCCTGAAGGTTACTTCTTTACTGATAATTCTCTGGCTCACAGGCAAGAAACTCAAGGGACAAATTTAGAGGGACTTAAAATAATGTTTTATTTTAAATGATTGATTTTAAATATTATTTGATAAATATTTAATAAAATACTTGAAATAATATTGTACTTTAAATGAATTTTAGACACATAAAAGTTGCAGAAATACTACAGAGAGTTTCCCTCACCCAGTGTCCCCCCATGTTAACATCTTGCATAGCCATAGAATGGTAAATAGCCTGGATAGGATACTATGAACCACCTTCTTTGAATTTCAGCATTATTTCCCTTAACTTTTTTCTTTTCTAATATCCTATTTAGGATCCCACATTGAATTTCGTTGTTATTTATTTGAGAGGAACATTTGCATTTGGGAAAATAGAATCAGTGTGTCCTATCCCACTCCTTTCTCTACTCTTTGACAAGTCTTGTTTCTAGGAAGATTTTCAAAGAAGTTGGGAGCAGCTCTATCACTGAAGCTCTATATGAAGCCATGTACCTCAAATCTTTTTATATGACTACATTCATTCTCTATGAGACTGTAAATTCCTTGAGTACACATTTTTAATTTGCTGAGAACAAGTGAATTATCAGCCTATTTAAACGTTCTCCAATGTCTGCATTTTGTGATTCGTCCTGGTAGCTCAGTACAAATGATCCATTACTTATCCAAACAGTTGTCCGCATCGCTAAGTGAACTGTGCGTGGGGGATAATATGGTACTTACCATATCCAGCTTGCCTCCATGCTCCACCAGGCTGGAGAATGCATAGGCCACGAGCACACAGGCCGCCAGAGAGAGGTACGTGTTCACGATGGCACTGTACTGTTTGTCTCCAGCTTCAGCGATGGCTGAATTAAAGCTGGGCCAGAATAGCCATAGAAAAAGAGTCCCTGCAGTGAACACAAGATGGGAGATTAGTTCTGAATATAGACGACAGTCCGAGGGATGCAGTTAGCTTTGGGCACTGACAATGTCTCTTACTTTTAGGCTCGATTATCTGAGAGTTAGGAGGAAAGAGGAGCATTGATCTAGCACAGACGAAGTAATTTTCAAAGGATGTTCTTTTAAAACGTCCCAGAACAAAGAGACAGGAAGCAGGCAAGTTCATCTGCACTCACCAATCATTGCAAATAAGTCCGAGTGGTACACAGACTCCTCATTCTGATGCCCCTTTCTTAGGCCAGATCGGTACAAGATGACTGTTACAGCCAAGCCAAAGTAGGCCCCGAAGGCGTGGATAGTCATCGATGCTCCAATGTCAGAGGCCTGAGGAGACAAAAGGCATTCACGTAAACAGAGGTGAACCTCAGTATCCTTCCAGGAGGACAGTCAATGAAAGAACTGTTTCATTAGTTAAGAAAAAGAGAGAGAGAGAAAATGAATGAATGAATGAATGTGTCAGGGAAAGGTGGATCAACCAGGGTAGTAAAACAGAAACAGTACAGTCTTTGGAGTCACACAGAAGTGATTTTCAATTCTCCATTAGGTATTCCCTTTCAATGTGACTCTAGACATATGACTAACTTCTGTGTATATGTTTCTATAAAATGGGAATTTATTACCCCCCTGACAGAGCTGTAGGAGACTCAGATGAGGCAGTGTTTCTGTGAGCTAGGTCCTGAGTAAGCAGGCAATACTTTCTAGGGTACATTCTCCAGGTGATGGAGAGACTCAGGAGATTCTCCACAAAACTAAGATGATTTGCATTCACTTGACTCTGCAGTTAAAGTTAATTTAGTTGCTACTTAAGACCTGAAGTTTCAAGCGTCCAGCGTTTTCCCCCATAGCTTTTTCAAATCTATCCTGGTTATGTAGCAAGACCCCATCTGTAAAATTAAGAGAGACACAGGCTGACAGACTCACGTCCTCTTCGTTGAATCCAGCCATGATTAACCGCTGCCTCCCACCTTCCTGAAACCACGTGGTGAAACAAGGCAAGACTTCCCGGCTGGGCGAAGACTGAGTGTTGCTGGGTGATGGGCTGAAAGGCTGAGGCCCAAGATTTATTTGAAGAAATGTGTTTTTGGTCCCTCTTGAGGACATGGTAAGGATTTGGCCCACTTTTCTACATGTCCTGCCTTTAAAGTTCACAGTGCCAAACTCTAGACTTGTCTCTCTACTTATAGGCAGGAAAAGGATACTAATTTACTTATTAAGATTTTCAAATTAGCTCAAATTGAAGTAAAGTGGGTCCCCTGGTTGTTGCTCCTTCTTTGACCAAATGCAGACAGACCCAGTCCCCTGGGCTGGAATGAGTCCCAGTGTCAGGCAGACCCAGTCCCCTGGGCTGGAATGAGTCCCAGTGTCAGGCAGACCCAGTCCCCTGGGCTGGAATGAGTCCCAGTGTCCTCCTAACAGATCTGATCTTTCTTAGCAACCTTTAGCCTCCCAACATTTATTCCTCTCCCAGCTGGAAAATCTTGCCTTGTTGCCTTGTGCTTTCAGGAGGGTGGGAGGCAACATTTAAACCTGCTTGGGTTTAACAAGTAGAACCTGAGTCTGTCTGGCTCTCTTTTTTAATTTTCCAGATGGGGTGTTGCTATTTTACCTAGGGTGGATTTGAACTCCTGGCCTCGAGCAATCCTTTAGCCTCTGCCTCCTGAGTAGCTTGGACTACAGACATGTGTCAGAGTTCCCAGCTTGTTCCTCTCTTTAAATGGTCACATATTTGTAAGCAAAAGAACCTGCCCTTTTCTTGCCCTGGAGCCATCCAATTAGTCTTTACCCTGCCAACACAGAGTTTACAGGTCTTTGTCAGGCTGACCTCCTTCCCTTGGTGGCTCCCTTTTGTACAGGCCAACTCCTGATACCTTGCTCCAAGGAAGGGTTTTCTTTTAGTTCTTCATTACCAAATAAAGACTTCGTGTTTGCTGTTACCTTGGACTCAAGTGCACTCCTACTCTTCAGTTGCTTGAGAAACTCATGGGTGCCTTTCAGGTTTGGCTTAATTGCTGCTGCTTCAGAGAATTCCTCCTTGATTCTACAATCTAAATTAGGTCTTCAGTTGCACTTTCTCATAGCTATACCCCACCTCCCCACATATTTTTCATAGCATGCATCGTGATTTATAATAGTATTTGTGTGTATGTGTTTGTGTCTTTGGGTGGGTGCTTGTGTAATTAGTTGTTTGGTTTCTGTCACCTCCACTAGATCATAAGTTTGATCAAGACAGCAACTTTCACTACTAGTATGTTTGTCGCTGAGTCACCAATACCCAGAAAGTTTTCAGAAATATTTGCTGTTGAATTAAATGTTAATATTTTATGGAAGTTGAAACAAAATAGCAAAATACTAGAGAGTGCCCAGAAATATTCTATTTATTATCCGAAGAAACTGATGAAAGTTTCACAGAGGGAAAGAAATTTGACCTAGGCTTTAACAAAAGGCTGTATAAGGGGTGGCCCCTGTGGCTCAAATGAGTAGGGCGCTGGCCCCATGTACTGGAGGTGGCGGGTTCAAACTGGCCCCAGCCAAACCCCCCCCCAAAACCAACCAAACAAACAAAAAAACCAGACAAACAACAACAAAAAGGCTGTATAAGGTTTTATATAGTACTATTCACCAATAGTTGAAATATAAATAGGAATTGATAATTGATAGACATTATCCTATAATATAAAAGAGTTGTAGAGTTAGAAAAGTCTGTGTGGGAGTTCAGACTCAGGTTAAGTCATTTAGCATCTGTGATCATCAGTTTTACTGTGTATTAATAATAACAATAATACTTGCCACGCAATATCATTGGGAAGATGAAATGAGATAACGTTTGTATAATAAAACTCCTAGTTTATACTAGGCATTCAGTAACTGATGACTGTTACTACTATCTGCTATGGTATCACTCTCACTAAGGCTTGCTCCTGTGTAGAATGGGCACCTATTATATACCTATATAACAGAAGAGATGCCCAGAGCTAGGTAAGTATTAATTGTTTAGCCCTTACCTTGAAAATCTCGCCAACCACATATTCATTTCCAGCAAAGGCAGCGATTTCTAACATTGTCATGATCAGCATTTGGACTGGACTCGTTTTCCCCAAGACTGCTCCAAAAGAAATCAGAACTGTGGCCGTACTGAAGTCTGCATTTATAATGCTGAGGGGAAAATAAAAAACAAACTGAAGAATAATACAAAGCAAAATAAAACCGTGAGACCCGCCTGAGCAAGAGTAAGACCCTGTCTCTAAAAATAGCCATGTATTGTGGCAGGTGCCAGTAGTCCCAGCCACTCAGGAGGCTGAGGCAAGAGGATCACCTAAGCCCAAGAGTTTGAGGTTGCCGGGGAGTTAGGACACTATGGCACTCTACCTCAGGTGACGAAGTAAGACTGTGTCTCAAAAAAACAAAACAAAAAAATCCCCTGTGAGTTGTGATGAGCTGTATCCAAGTGCCGGCCCCTCTCCCACCAGGCCCATCCAGTGCCACTCTCAGGCCTCCCATCCTCTCCCACTTCCTCATCCCCCTTTTTCCCCTTTTACCAGCTAGGAGTTACTCTTTAGTTTCTCTATTTTTTAAAGAAATCTTTGCCTACTGGTACTTTATATCATTTAGAGTTTTTCTTTATTTTCATTGATGTGACAGGTGAATTATTTCCTAGAGTGTTTGTTTACAGCAATAAGAACACATGTCTGTATCTGGAAAACAATCTTCAAAAAATAACTAAATTTTTGCTCCCTGTAGCTGGGAAAGAAGGAGTAGTAATTTTACAAAAGGGAATTTCTTGTACCGTTAAAAGGTGAAAGCAGAGAAGTTAGGGACATGAATGTATGATCCAGCTGAGCAGAGCAAGGCATTGATAGGGGCTGTTGGATTTCAGCAATCTTCTGTTGCCTTAGGGAGAAAATCTGCTGGGCAGTTCAGAGCTGAACGACCATGGACTTGCAGAAAAATTAATAACACGATAGTTGAAAATTGGGAAATGTCTTGTTTTGTTGGGATGCCATAACAGAATACCATAAACTGGGTAGTTTATAAGCAGCCAAAATTTGTTTCTTGCTGTTCTGGAGGCGGGGAATTCTGAGATCAAGGTGCTGACAGATTTGGTGTTTGGGGGGCTGGGGGGCTGCCTGCCTTACTGCTTCATAGATTTTGCATTCTAGCTGTGCCCTCATGTGTCGGAGTGTTCAAGAATCTCTTTAGGTCTCTTTTATAAAGGCAATAATCCTATTCCTGAGCTATCCACCTTCATACTCTAATCACCTCCCAAAGACTCTGTGTCTAAATATCATCCCCTTGGAGATCAGGAATTTAACATATTAATTTAAGGGGTGGGGTCACAAACATTTGGACTGCAGCAACAGTGCTCACTTTTTTATTCCAATGTGGATTTTCTGCCCATGACTGTGCAGGATCCCTTGCATAATAGTGCCCCACTGGAGGCCCAGGGCGGCGATGAGCAGGTTGACGCCCACACTGCTGAAGCCATATTTCTTCAGGAAGGTCATGAGAAAGCCAAATCCAACAAATATCATAACGTGCACATCTTGGAACACTGAAAAAGAGCAGAGGAAAAACAAATCTCCATCAGGGGAGACGACACCAGTGTTACTTCCTAGTATAGGATAGAATCAGGTTTACCTGCCCAAATAAACTAGCCCCGCCCAGGAAGGTCAGGTTCATGGCCCACCCAGGAAGGGTCAGAGTCATGTCCCTCCCAGGAAATAGGAATGCCACCAATCCTGGCTGCCCTAACCCTTTAAATCCCTGTCCGCCATAGCCCACGTGTGGATTTTTCCCCAGTCAGGAATCCAGGTGGAATGAAAGCCACTTTAATCGTGTGAGTTGGATCTCCATTTTCCTTTCATCTCATGTTTTGGAATGATTTTATCCTTGGGTCTGGAACCCAAGGATAAAATTTAATACCCTTTTATTAAATATTACCAACTTTGTATAAAGTTCTGCAAAAGGAAGCCCTTCCCCGGGAAGCAGAAAGTTGGTTCCCATGCCAGGCTGGCTACTCACCAGCCATGAGACCTTCAGTTATTCAGTATTTGAGCCTTTTGGGGGAAAGCTATGCACTGTCATCCCAGTGTGCCTTTCATCCTTCTCTGAGGAAATCTTCATGATTTTCTACCCTGTGAAATACCTGCGGAGCACACGGTGGGCATGGCCCCCTTTGCAGACTTTCCTAATCCTCCCAGGGAAAAGGGTACTTCCTCTCGTCATGTATGCAGCTTTCTGTGTAACCTCAGCCTTATCATTTGTCGTGTAGGATTAGCATTTCTTTAGCTGCACCACACTGTAATAGTTAATTAGTTGATGAGGTGTCTATTTCCTGACTTAGGTTGGGACTTTCTTGGTGGGGGGGGGGTTAGGACACATTCACCTGTTGTTCTGAACTTGGCATGATAGCCTGCGTATAGGAGAGGACGCAACATGTACTGGATGATGAATGACCAACTGAAGGCACTGTGGTCTCTGTTTATCACAGTGTGTACAGTAGCATCAGCCCTGACAGTCTTCCCAGGTCATTATTTGAGTCGTATGAGAGAATGTCTTCATCAGTACTTTATAAACCATGAAGCACTAAACAAACATAAAAGCTGTATCCTCTGGATGGACAAATATCTACCAAACTTGGTGCCTGGGGGTATGGGCTCAGGTTCCCCAATGTAATTCCATGACTGTGTGACCTTGAGTGAGCTTCAAGTGTTTGCATATGCAAGACTGAAACTACCCTATCTCTCCCTTGATGACTCGGAGTGGGATAACCTGTGTGGGAGAATTTGCCTGCAGTAAGGTACCATGCAAATAAAATGTAGTCTATTGTTTTTAAAGTGGGCAGTAATCTACTCATTTAAAAAAATTCATCTACTTTTGTAAAATCTTTTACAGGGAATAATTCTGCAGATTTCATCTCCCTCATCTTTTAATGGAAAACCAGACATTTTATATAGTTGGGGAAAGGAATTTCATGTGTTAACTGTTCAATTCCCCCCCACCCGCCTTGATCTAATGCTTGTTACTTCTTTTTGCCACAAGGGGGCTTCAGAACCTAGTGAATTATTGAAGTTGCTGACCACAGTTTCAGGCGTCCTCAAACTATGGCCCACGGGCCATGTGCCGCCAGCCTAGGATTTATCTGGTTCGCTAGGTGTTTTTGCCACCGCTGTCTGTCCGGCTTAGCAGCTGACTCTTCCCGGGGCCTGCAGTCCAGCCCTCCAACGGTCTGAGGGACAGTGAACTGGCCCCCTGTTTAAAAAGTTTGAGGACGCCTGCCTGCGTGAAGGCTGTACACAGAGAACTTGACTCTGTGTAAAATGTATGCATAAAAATGCTTATAAATGTTTGCAAACAGCTGTGTACTTTGTTTCATCTTGCTTTAAGGGTTTGCAGGTGGAGACCAGGAAGAGGGTTACACGTTTAGTTTTGTGGTGCAACGCTCTGTCATTAAAGGAATAAATTATCCACTTTGTAGAGAAAAAAAAAAAAGGATTTTTTTTTAAGGGGGTTTACACTCTGGGGAAGTCTCCCAATAGGTTTTAAGGATTGTCAAGACTTGTCTAAATCAGTGATTCTCAGCAAAGTTGATTTTGGCCCACAGAGTACTCTGGACAAAGTCTAGAGCTGTTTTTGGTTGTTGCAACTTGAGGGGCTTGGCTGGTGCTGGGGTGTGCAGGGGTGGGGAGACTGCTGCTAACATCCTGAGAGGAGGGAGGCTGTGAAATACCCTGCGAGCGCACAGGGCAGCTTCCCACAAGAAATCATCCGGTTCACAGTATCAGCAGTGCTGCTGTTGAGAAACCACAGTCTAAGTTAAATGATGCTTTTCAGGATTCAGAGTACTATCAAGTTTTCCTCTTCCTTAAACATTTTGGATAAAAGGAGAAAATGCTGGCGTGATATACTTAACAATTCCTGCCTGGTAGCTAAACACATTCACACTTTGAGCCAAGAGAGTGGGGGGTGGAGCCAGGTGCCTAGTTCCTCCTTTCTCTCTTCTCCCATTTCTTGTTATCTCCCGAGGTCATAGTAACACTGTTTTTATTTCACATATTTTCCTGATATTAAGAGAAAATAAATGGGGATACTGAAAAATATAAAACTGGAGAAATCTAAAGGCATTAGAATCTTCCAATAAGTTCCTGGGCTGGGGTAAGTTGTGTCCTCAAGGGAAGCATCACAGAAATCAAGAACACTGTTTTAAATCTGTGAAAGCCAACTAGCTGCATGCCCTTTAAATGACCAACAAATCTCTTTGAGCCTCAGTTTCCTCATCTGTAAAATGGGAAGAATTCCACTTCATTAGGCTCCATGAGGGTATGGACTTTGTCTCATTTACTTCCTCATGTCTCTAGTACCTGGAGCAGAATACACACCAAATAAATACAGAATAAACACATACAACTCTGGAGTACATGTAACACTCAGTGCTTTTATGTTTTGGTACCGATACGTATTAAAAAGATTATCACATTCAAGATTCATTTTCTTCTCCTTGTTTTTTCTTTCAGATGGAGTTTCACTCTGTTGGACTGGGAAGAGTGCAGTGGCGTCATCACAGCTCACTGCAACCTTAAACTCCTGGGCTCAGCCTCCCAAGTGGGTAGGTCTACAGGTGTGCACCACCACACCTGCCTGGCTATTTTTACCTAATTTTCTAATTAGGCCAGACTCGACTCCTGTCTCCAAGCATTAGGATCCTTCTTTAGGGAGACCACAATTTTTAGCCATTTTCAAATAGCCAAGCCTGTTCCTTTGCCTACTCATTGATGACATGCATGAAAAACCCCATTTTATCAGCTGTGCAGAAAAAGTTTCATTTATGCTAGTTTAAGCTCACGGTACTTTGGCAATCTTCGCTGTTGCTTTAAACGCTGCAATTTGTTCAGAATATAGCATTATGATCATTCCCCTTTTTGTTTTCACTGACTAAACATGTTATCTCAAAAAGTATGTTCCAGCCTTTTTAAAGTTGGCTGGTAGTAGTGGAAGCCAAAAAGTATTACATTTTGACAAAGCTGTTGGCCCTGATAGGTTCAGGCAGACAGATGCAGCTTGCATTCCTTCCTGATAAACAACACAGCTCGTATAACGTAGCAGTGAAACCACAAGTTTTAGAGGCAGGCAACCAGGGTTGGCATTTGAGAAGCTCTTTCGTTTATTCATTGGTTGGCTTTGGGCAAATTGCTTAGTCTCTCTAAACCCCAACTTTATAACAGGTGTTTCTTCTTAGCATGTATGTTTTCATGTATGTTTTAAGGGTTGTTACGAGGACTAGAAAATGAATGCAAAGTTAGCACAATGCCTATAACAAATTAGCATTATTATAATTAGTGATTTTATCGTAATGTAAAACTTGTCCTATTATCCTTTGCCAGTAAAAAGAGATTTGAATTTGTTGTTGGAAACCAGAACCTTCAGGATACAAGTATCATTATCATTATCCCTTTCATCAGTTTAGGTAAAGTTTAAATTATCTCATTATATTTTATTTCTACATTTAGCTTGCAATAGGCTATCTTGCAAGTCCTGATAACATATTTAACTAACTCACCCTGTACCACCACAAACAAACAAAATTAAAATCAAACAAAATCCTCCTTTGTCTCTATTTCCTGATAGCACAGCCTCTGCCTAGAATGTCCTCTTCATCCCATATCCGACACTTCTTTCCTGGAAAATTTCTGGACACTTTAACAATCATATCTTCTGCATGTGCTGCTGGACACAGGTGTTATGTTGCACATATTCCTCTTGTTTTATTCCATGTGTGTTTGTTTTGTGTCTGTGTGTGTTCACTTATCATTTATTCAAACAGACTGTTGATAGAGCCCTGCCAGTTAGTCTTTTAGGAAAAAGTGAATGCAAGTCTTAGGGTAGGAATCATCAGGTGGCTTGCTTCAGACAGACCCTAGCAGAGTCTGGCACCAGGAGCTTCTTAGGAAATGCCTCCATTAGTCATGGATAAATGGACCACAGATGAGGGCCACTGAGAATTTGTCTAATTGAAACTACAAAGCTTCAGATCAGAAAAAAAATTATGTTTTTAGACCAGCTGGTGAAAATTACAAAGCTTACTCTCCAATTAGAGGTTGCGTGGCTTTCTTGTTTTGTATTGTTTTGGTTTTTATTTTAATTAATTAATTTTTTTGAGACAGAGCCTCAAGCTGTCGCCCTGGGTAGAGTACTGTGGCATCACAGCTCACAGCAACCTCCTACTCCTGAGCTTAAGTGATTCTCTTGCCTCAGCCTCCCAAGTAGCTGGGATTACAGGCACCCACTACAACGCCCAGCAATTTTTTGGTTGTAGTTGTCATTGTTGTTTGGCGGGCCCCAGCCTGGATTCGAACCTGCCAGGTGTATGTGGCTGGTGCCTTAGTGGCTTGAGCCACAGGTGCCAAGCCGTTGTTTTGGTTTTTAATAGTTCAAGGCCGGGAAGGTAACTTTGCTATACATGTGGCCTTGGCACCTTAGTGAGTTCCACTCTTAGGAATCAGTAGGACTGTGTTCTGAACTCATATGTTCTTTCTTTGCTTTTTTTTTTTTTTT